AGAGAGAGAGGGAGAGAGAGAGAGAGAGAGAGAGAGAGAGAGAGAGTCATTGGAATGTGAAAGGTCAATTCGTTTGCCTTACAAGCATCAATGCCCCATTCTACTAAGATTTCCAAATGTATGAATATTTGTCAGGACACTCCTGATACCCACTCTAATTTCCATCCCTTTCAGGGCAGGGACATGATTCTGAACACAGATAAAGAACTATGGAATGCTCAATCTTCTTAAAAATAATCATATATTTTCTTCCCCTAAAGTCAATATGGTCCTGTTTATCACAGGTAGTCTCCCTCCAAGGAATTCAGCGTGTGTGTCAGAGTTAATTTCTTGATTTTGCAACAGAGAAGACAACATGATGAAGAGACAAATTGGTATTCTGTTGTTATTTGAATCTCTGCCTCTCCTTTGGAAACCACAGATCTGCTTGGCCCAAAGTAGCATAAAAATTTTGCTTTGCTTCACCCTTTCCCTACATGACTGGTAATTTCCCGTCCACCCCCCTTCTTAAACAATATAGGAAGAACAGCTCGCCATCTCTCCTGTTGTTCAATTATCAGGGTACTTATCCTGCTAGGAAGTGTTAGGCCCCTCCAAGGTGTGCCAACATCTCAGAATGAGGTAAACATTAAAAAGCAATATCCAAAACAGCGAAGGATTAGAAATTGGTGCCTGCCCTCATCTATTTACTGCATCTGTTTACCTTGGTAGCAACAATGTGTGGCATAAAGCCCTATAACAGTCTTTCAACAATGTGCTAATTTTGTATCTCTCAGAGATACAGAACTAAACCTGTGCTCATTTTGTATCTCTCCAGTGTTCCGTCACATGACAGCATTTTGATTAAATCCGGAAGTAAATCTTAAAAGAGGGAGATGGGCAAATGATTTATGGGTAGGATGGTGCAATAAATTCAGCTTCAGGTGGGAGCTTATTACTTCCCCCCCATTTTTCTTATTTTTGTTACTGCTCAGAAAAAGTCACAAACTCAAAGGCATGGCCATCTGCCAAGTGTTGGTCACTGCAGCTGGCATTCATCCTTCCTGCAAGCCCTGTCTAGGCAATTGGTACCCATTGCCATCAAGTATTCAAAGGGTGTATTGAGAATACACTGGTTGCTTCCAACCCCTAGCCACTGATGCACATGGGGGTTGGGTTCCCTGGCTAACACACGACAGGGCACTGATAGCAGTATGAATACATGCACTTAGGCTGCCAGATCTCTGTTGCTGCTGCCACTGGCATGCTGCAAAATTTTAAATAACATTCCTGTTAAACATGCTAAAGACAAAACAGCATAGAACCCCCTCTTCCTCATATTGGGTTTGTAAGCCCCACATCTGAGATCAGCAAAAGGCAGGGCAATTGACAGTAAAAGAAGAAGGGGGCGGCAGAGGATGAGGTGGCTGGATGGAGTCACTGAAGCAGTTGGTGTGAGCTTAAGTGGACTCCGGGGGATGGTGGAGGACAGGAAGGCCTGGAGGAGTGTTGTCCATGGGGTCGCAATGAGTCGGACATGACTTTGCAACTAACAACAACTACTACAACAACATCTGAGATCAATTCAAGAGTCAAGTTTTGCATCCCAGAATAGTTGATTCATTCACATCCTGTCAATGGGGTGATAAATTAGGAGTGACTGTTAACACATCTTTGATAAGAACATAAGACCTGAGTTGCTAAATCAGTTAAAATGGCAATGGCAATTTATAGAGCAATGCTTATCTAAGAGTGGGTCTCATATGAACTCAGATGGGCTTACTTCTGAGTAGACATGTAAAGGACTGCACTGTTAGATGGACACTTGTCCTTTATAGTGAGTGACTAATGTTTTTGCTCTGTACATTATAATGAGTGCTGGAATGGTAAAGTAAGTCACACATAAATAATCATTTTTCACTGTTAGCTTGATAGGATGTTAAAAGCTATATGTATGCCTCTGATGTTCCTTCTCATTCTACTTTATCCCAGTCTTTCTCTAACCATACTTCCAGAATATTTCATTAATATTTTCTACATTCACATTGGCACATTTACATTAGAAGTCTTTCTGTGTTATCCATTCCTCAGGAGCTGCATATTCTGCCCCTTAAATGCAAACCCACTGACCTTCTTTCTTTTATTTACCATTCATGTTATCTGGCTTACATTTTTGCATCTTTTATCCACATTTCTATCCTTTGATAGAATAGTTGTGTTTAAATTAAGGGAGGTTGGACTGAACTAAGGATAAAAACAACAGCTAACTTATATATCAATGTGGATGTATATCATTAGTGAAAGAGACACTCTTTTAAAACAAACTGATAATTAAATCCCAATTTATCCCTTCTTTCCCACAGAATTTTAATTAAAAAAGGATTTTGAAGCACTTTTTTTCCCTTTCTTTGCCTTCATCATACGTATTTTAAGTTCTCATTTTAATTCAATTGGTTCTTTTGGCATGAACTTATTTTTTTCCCTTTCTCCCCAAACAATATATGTTAGTATTGACACTTTATTAGTGAAAATTGCATCCTCTTGCTAAGGAGAAAACAATTACCTCCTGTGTTCTCAAAGTGTGTTTCATTAATTTTACCACCTAATTGAAACTAAGGCAGAGGGCTCATAAATGGATCCATATCTCTCAAGGTTCATTTTTTTCTGAGTACAAGTTCTTGGAATTAAAATGCAGTTTTATTAAGTGGCACATTTTTATTTTCTATTTCTTTTTTTCTTTTCTCTCTTGTGCATGCTGCCTGGGAACCGTTTTCCTTGTTCTTAGCAGTAATAAATAGGCAACAGGTGACCACCCGAAACCCGCCCAGCCTCATGAGTACAGGTGATTATCAGTTCAGGAGAGGGAATGTGATAAAATTGAAAACATTTTGGCACCCACTAAAATGTCATGTCAAATTTTTCTTCTGTGTTGAAACAAGTATGATGTTAGTCTGATTTGTTTACAGGAGGTTCTTTAATAATTTTGTACTGGGTCAGAACTACATCCATTTTGAATGCCTACAAATTGTAGTTAAGCAATAATGTAACATTGTATTGCTGCATTCAGAAAGACAATGAAAACAGTCTGGAAATATCTGCTTACATTACCAAACTAGCCTTCAACTCTACTTGAATTCCTAACTCTAAGAGGAGGTGATGCATCATTTCCTTGGTTCCTGTTCTGGATATGTGTCTAGTAAAGAATTAAACATGATACTACTGTTGTTTACACATTTATTTAACATCAAGGCTGACACGGAAAAAGGCAAGGAAGACCATAAGACTAAGATAAAACTAACTTGCCCAAGAACTAGTCTAGAAGGTAGAGGTGGGAGCTCTGAAAGCTGAGCTCTAAGCACTAAACCATTGTGCGGAACCAAAATTACAAAGGCGGTGGAGGGCAGCCTTATGCTCTGCCACCCTCTAAGTTATTTATTTATTTCTTAATCTTCGCAAAATAAAACTCAGGGGCAGAGAACCTTGAAGGTGCCAAGAATGCTGGAGAGCCCAGGTACATGACTTCACCCAGAAGACTAGATGCTCACTTTTATCTTGTATCAAGATAAAAGTAAGCATCAAACTGAAAGGAAGATCACGGCTCTGGAAGACAATACAACTGGGAAGAGTCACCAGATTGACATTCTGTTAATGCTTTGCAAACCATAGCAGCTTTACAGAAAGTGTGGTGACATGATGCGAAAGGAACAAAGCTGATTCATTGAAAGACAGGAATCAGAATTGTTCATTCTTTCTGGGTTACTCCAAACGGTAATAAAAATATATTATTGCCACAAAACCTCCTGAAAGTTAAGCTTCCAACACATAAGAAGCTCAGGTCTATTCTTAAAGCACTATGCCTTAATTTTCTTAGAAAAAGTTTTTCTAGGAACCCATCTCTTTACAGAACCATTATTATGAAGATAAATATATTAAAGATTCAATCCTATGCATGGTTAAACCAAACAAAAAGGGGTACAAATGGTTGGGGCATTTTGGGAATAATAGGCTTTCTTCTTTTCTTTTTGGTCTCCCTGTGCATAGGATTGCTTCCTAAAGGTCTTACTTCAGGTATAACACATCAAAGCACTACAACAGCCTTAATAATGGTAAAAGAAAGAGGCAGCTATTAGAAAAGAAAAAGACTGTTCACAACATTGAGTAAGCAACACTTTTGAAGGGGCTATCAGTGGTTACCGGTAAAGTTTGCAAAAACATAAAAAAGGAAAATAGATGTGGCGACAGAAAAGGAGTTGGTGGCGGAGCGGGAAGTCTAACCTAGTCATAGGTGCTCCAAAGTGCCACTTAGTTATTGTTGAAGCAGCTTTGCTGTTGGTGGTGTAAGCAAACTCAGCAAGAGTGGCAAGAATGATATCTCTTGCCACTCCTGCTTCTGCTTCTTTTTCCTGCAATCCACTGTGGTTAAATCACCTGGTTTTGGACAGCAGAGCAATCCACAGCAATCCCTACAAGTCATGGGGTTGTCTGGGTAGCTTATTGCCCCAAAGGAAGCCACCTTGCAGTCCAGGTTCATATAACACAACATGGCAGCCCAGTGTGATTAGTTACCCATGCTGGGTTGCCATTTCATTCGAATCCAGCCCATCTCTGATAATGCATTGAAATAATTTATTGTAAGTGCCCGATTACAGCATGTGATAGGAGGTTTCCTTCATTGTGACCTTTAGTTGCTGTGATGATGCTAGCATCTTCATTAATCTTATTCTTCTGGCATAGTAGCAACTGTTACTATGGCTCTGACCTCTATGGGTTATATCCAGTGGTGGTGCTGCACCAGCAGGAAGCACATCAACTTGCATATTAGTTCTGATCTTGTATGGTTCAATTTTGTTTGGCTAAGCTAAGACTGGAGGCAGTGGTAGGTGGGACGCAGATGACTCATGTACATTCACTGTCTTATGTGCAGTCATAATATGAAAGCTTCGCAGAGGGAGACAGAACATTACCTTAGTTTTGCAGGTGGTACTGGGGGAGCTGCAAAGAGAGACAATGTTGCCATTTTTCTCAGAACTTCCACATGCCCTAGGTCGGGTTTACATGGAGTGGCATACATGCATGGTTAAGAAACTGTCTATTAATGCCCAATTATCACTATGTATGTGTGCAGTATACGAGCAACTCAGAAACTGTTAAATTGAATGTTTTGAAAAGTGTCTGATGGTTGCAGGAATGGCATCAAATCCTTCCCACCTCCATATTTCTATTTTTACCAACTAAATGGCTTAAACACATGTTGTTCTAGATGTTTTTCTCAGATACTAACAATCATGGATGAAGTATTTAATAATCCCATCATTAATATTTAACTACTTTGGTTTTCTCAGTATTTCAGGGATCAACTAATTCTTGGCATCATCTAAGCATCTTTACAGAATTCTCCTAATCACATTAGAATGAATGAAATGCAGCATTAACTTGTACAATAGAATGTAGTTGGTAGTGATGAAATCTACTAGATGGTATGATCTTACGGTATAGGATGTGTATTAAAACATCCCTGATTCAATGTTTTAGACCAACGAACCAAGTAGGAACATAACATGCATCTTACTCAAGGTCATACAATGACTGGAATCACCTCTTCAAGGTTTCAAACAAAAGCCCAGCTGTTGTCAGGGCTGAACCTGGAACTCTTTCTGTGCAGAACATGTGTTCAGTCACAGAGTTTCAGGAAGAAATAGGGAATGTTCTCTTACTACTTCTCTTTGCAAATTTACTCCTTTATCTGAAACATTTCAATTATGCCTTTCAATCTCCTACTTATCAAGACAGTTCTCAAGAATTAACAGACTAGGTTAAAACAATACAGTAAAAGACACAATAAATAAAAACAACAGAAGACCAAAAATAGACCATTTTAGCTGCTAAGAGCTGAGGAACAGAGTCAGACAATTTAAATCTAAATATTTGAATGAAGAGTGGTATGCACAAAGATAAGACTGGCATCAAAAGTAGTCATGGTTGAACATGCTGCTGAGGGCATACAGAAATCCCCTGCAATTACTCTTGTCTTTTGCATTGCAAGCAGCCTTTCCAAGGGCCTCTGGCTCCAGTCTGGTCGATGGTTGCAGGGAAAAGGAGAAGCAGTATATGCTGCTAGCTTTTTGCCTGTCAAGTAGGCAGGTGGCTGTAATAATGAGAAAGAAGGTGAGGAAAAATAGTTGGTGGTGACAATGGCTGTGAGATGGTAGCCTTACTGAGGAAGAAGGGAGGTACTGATGGCTTTCACATTCAAGGACCCTACAAAATCTGCACCTGACCCTGCAGGAACACATGCTCATATTTATTTATTTATTTATTTATTTATTAAAACATTTTTATGCCGCCCCATTCGCCGAAGCCTCGGGGCGGCTTACAACAAAAAATTTAAAATAACATTTTAAAATATATACAATAAAATACAAATATACACTATAAAACAAGCCGCCCTGGCCAAATAAAATTCAATAATATTAACATTTAAAATACTGCTTAAATAAAAAGGTCTTTGCCTGGCGCCGAAAAACAAATAACGACGGCGCCAGGCGGACCTCTCTGGGGAGCGCATTCCATAACTTAGGCGCCACCGCTGAGAAAGCCCTCCTCCGAGTAACCACCCTCCTAACTTCTTCCATGGAGGGCTCCCGGAGAAGGGCCTCTCCCGCCGATCTCAGGGGGCGGCTGGGCATATAAGGATGTAAGCGCTCCTTCAGGTAACCAGGACCCAAGCCGTTTAGGGCTTTATAGGTCATAACCAACACCTTGAATTGGGCCCGGACTTCAATGGGAAGCCAGTGAAGCTGACGGAGAACTGGAGTCATGTGAACATAACGTCCAGTCCCCGTCAGCAGCCTGGCAGCTCTATTTTGGACCAATTGAAGTATCCGGACCGTCTTCAAGGGTAGCCCCACGTAGAGCGCGTTGCAGAAGTCCAAACGGGAAGTCACCAACGCATGTGTCACTGTCGCAAGGCAGTCATTCTCCAGATAGGGGCGCAGCTGATGAATTAGCCGAAGCTGGAGGAAAGCACTCCTCGCCACTGCTGTTACCTGAGCTTCCAGTGAAAGCTCTGGGTCGAGGAGCACTCCCAAGCTGCGGACCTTGTCCCTAAGAGGGAGTGCAACCCCATTCAGGACAAGGTTCAATTCACCCTCTCCGAAGCCCGATCCACCAACCAACAGGACCTCCGTCTTGTCTGGATTGAGCTTCAGTTTATTGGCCCTCATCCAGCCCATTACCTCGGCCAGGCACCGGTTCAGCACAGCCACTGCCTCACCTGGATTGGTGGAAAACGAGAGGTAGAGCTGGGTATCATCAGCGTACTGATGGTTCCGCAGCCCACACCTCCTGATGACCTCTCCCAGCGGTTTCATGTATATGTTGAACAGCAAAGGGGACAAAATGGACCCCTGCGGTACTCCATGGCATAGCTGCCATGGCGCAGAGCCATAGTCCCCCAGCACCACCTTCTGGAACCGGCCATTGAGATAGGAGCGGAACCACTGCAAAGCAGTGCCTCCAACCCCCAATCCCGCAAGCCTATCCAGAAGGATACCATGGTCGATGGTATCGAAAGCTGCTGAGAGGTCCAGCAGAACCAACAGGGACGCACTCCCCCTGTCCTTCTCCCTGCACAGGTCATCATACAGGGCGACCAAGGCAGATTCAGTACCGTACCCGGGTCTGAAGCCGGACTGCAATGGGTCCAGATAATCAGTTTCATCCAAGAGTGCTTGGAGTTGTCCCGCCACCACTCGTTCTAACACCTTGCCCAGAAACGGGATGTTGGCCACTGGTCTATAATTAGTGGCCATCTCTGGATCCAGTGACGCCTTCTTCAGGACC